CAAAGGCATAATAAGTTCTTCTTCTGTCATCTCTATTGCCCCCTTTCAGATGCATAGGAAGCAATTAGAAAAAGCATGGCTTGGATCATGTGAACCTTACCTTTTCAGTCTATATTCAGGAAGCAGGGTTTTATGAGGAGGAATGTGGCTTCAGGATTGGAGATAGACTCATCAACAATCTACATTATGGAGATGACACAACCTTGCTTACTGAAACTGAAGACAACCTGAAGTGCCTGCTGCCAACGGTCAAGGACTGTAGTCTTCAATATGGATTGAAGTTCAACATCAAGAAGACAAAGATTCTCACTACTGGGCCAATTGCCAGGACCAGTGAAAGATGGAGAAGTGATTGAGGTTGTTAACAATTACAACTTGCTTGGCTCCACAATCAACACTCTTTTAACATCAGGAGTCAGAAAATCAGGAGATGAATTGCATTGGTAATATCTGCTGTCAAGGACCTCTCCAACGTGCTGAAAAGCAATTATGTCAGTCTAGAAACTAAGGTGCACCTAATCCAGATCATGGTCTTTGCAATTACTTGTGAGGCTTCAGAGAGTTGGACAATGACTAAGGATGACAGAAGAATCAATGCCTTTGAATTGTGGTGCTGGAGAAGAGTTTTGAACATACCATGAACTGTCAAGAAAACAAATATGTCTGTCTTGGAGAGGGTGAAACCAAGTCTCTGCTTGGAGGCTAGAATTTTGAAGCTCTGTCTCACATGCTTTGGGCATATGGCCAGGAGAGACTGGTCCTTGGAGAAGGGCATCATGCTCGGAAGGGTGAGGGGCAGCACAGGAGAGGAAGACCCCAGATGAAATGGATTGATACAGTAACTGGGCAAGAGGGGATGGTGTGTTCGAATTGGTGAGACTGGCTCAGGACAGGGTAGGGTTCTAGGTAAATAGGGTTGCTATGGGTCACAGGTGACTCAGTGGCCCATAACAACAACAGCATCAATCATGATGCTGCCTATTAGTTGCCCCAAGGGTGAAATTTTTTGTGGTTGAAATTTAACCCATAATGAAAGCTATGTGATTTGATTTTCTTCCCTAAGTCCTTCACATCCTCTTCACTCTACAAGCAAGGTTATTATTAAGGTCATTTGCTTAATACCAGTTTTTTATGAGTCTTCCTCCAATCCTGATACTACATTCTCCTTCATAGAGTCCAGCTTCTCAAATGATCTGCTCTGCATACAGATTGAATAGGTATGGAGAAAGGACACAACTCTAGTGCTCACCTTTCCTGATTTTAAACCATGCAGCGTTCCCTTGTTCTGTTAGGATAACTGCTTCTTGATTTATTAATAGAATTTGCATGAGCACAATTAAGTGTTCTATGATTCCCATTCTACTTAGGGTTAGCCATAACTTGCTGTGATCCACACAGCCAAATATCTTTTCAGAGTAAGTAAAACACAAGTATTCATCTTTCTGGTATTCTTTACTCTCAATCCTTTGGGCATCAGCAATGATGTCCTTTGTGGAACAGTCTTCTTTTAAATCCATTTTCAATTTCTTGCATGTCTCCTTCGATGTACTGCTCCAGCTATTTTTTAATAATTTTCAGAAATCTTTTACTCACTCATGATAATGATATTGTTTGATAATTTCTGCACTCTCTTGTTAGCAAGGGCAGCTGAGTCCACCGTGGCCCTGTGAGCAGCAGTTCTGTACCCTGCCCTGTGCTGTGCCATCCTCGTCATCTGTTTCCTTGAGCCTGTTGTTACAATCTGTATCAGGATATCTTGTGGAAGGTCTTCCTCTCCTGCAGTGATCCTCCACCTTTCTAAGCATGATGTCTTTTTCCAAGGACTAGAACCTCTTTACAACATGTTCAAAGTGCGTAAGATGACGTTTCACCATCCTTGTCTCTAAGGAGCCCCCGGTTGCACTTCATCCAAAACCTAATTGTTCATTTGGAGATCCATGGGATAGTCAGAGCTCTTCTCCAGCACCGCAACTCAAAGTTGTCACTTATTCTTTCATCACCCTTATTTTATTATCCTCATATCCAACTTTCAGATGCATAGAAAGTCACCTTTTTTTTGAAATAGGAACAAATACAAGTCTCTTCCAGTCAGTTGACAGGGAGATGACTTCCAAATTTCTTAGCATCAGCTAGTGAGCACATCCAGGACTGTATGTCTTTGTTGAAACATGTCAGTTGGTATTCCATCAATTCCTGTGAGCTTATTTTTTGCCAAGCCTTCAGTGCAGCTTGAATTTATTCCTTCATTACCATTGGTTCTACATCCTGTTACTTCCTGAAATATTTCCGTTTCAACAGATTCTTTTTGGTACAGTAACTCTGTGTGTTCCCTACATCTTTTGACACTTCCTACATCATTCAATATTTCACCCATAGAATCTTTCAGTATTGCAATTCAAGACTTAAACGTGTGCTGGGAGTTCTAGTGGCCTCGTGCCAGAAA